AGCTTGCCTCCCAGCCCCTCCTAGCACACCCCTCTCTATTCCGGGCGTGGAAAGCTGAAAACTAGGCAAGAAAAGGGAAGTAAAAATAAAAAAGACTTATCCACAAAAATAAATAGGAAAGAAAAATAAAGAGGCACCAAATCCAGATAGTTTTCCGGTAACGCTCTCCTTGGAGCTTTGAAGAGCAGATCATTTCTATGTTGGAAATCCTGACTTGTATGTTCAGTCTGTGTCCATCTTTAAATGTTGCTAATGAAGTCAAGTTCACAAACACCTTGGATTTGGTCCCTCTGTTGTGGTCCAGGCCCTTTAAGGTAAAGATGGGGAAAGTGGGGGTTGGGCCCAGAAGCTGGGAATGGTTCATTCATCCACTCAAGGAAGGAACACCCCATGTGCCCGTGCTGTGCTGGGTGTGGAGGATGCAGCAGTGAGCAGACAGCCCCCACCCCCGCTAGACCTGGGGGAGCTCTCCTGGCAGAGGGAATGGTAGCATGCCTGCCAAGGGGCAGGAGATCTGGGTGACTGATGTGCCCCGGAGGAGGTGAGAGGGGCTGAGGCAGAGAAATGAGATCAAACCAGGGAAAGGTGGGAAACCATCAGGGTTCCGGCTTTTTCTCTGAGGTGCTGTTGTCCAGACGAGGGACCAGACCAGGGTGCTGGCTGTGGTGGTGTGAGGGGGCTCACACCCTGTGTTGGCGTTTGTCTATGGCTTCCCAGTGGGGATTGAGAGAGAAGTCAGGGTGGGCCCCAGAGGTATACAGCCGAGTCCTGTGTGTGCGCTTGGAGGCCCAGATCCCCCCATGGCGGAGAAGGTGGGGAACAGCTTCCTTGGGCCTGCGTGTTTGGGGGTTGGGAGGGAGGTGAGGCTGAATCAGGACCCTTCCTGCTCTAATGCTGCCTCTGACTGCATTTCTAAGCACATGTTCTGGTTTCCCTTTTTTTAAATTTCTGAGATCGGAAGTGCAATTCTGCTGCTGTTGAAATACAATGCGCCTTCTCTTTCCTCAGTCTCTCTGCTTTAATTGTGTACCCCTGGCTCCGCGCCGCCACGCTGGCCGGCTTGGAGATTCATAATTTCAGGCTGACACCATAGTAACCACTTAGTTTGATTCAAGATTCCAGTGTCATCCTGGCTGCGCTTGAATAGGATGGGGGGTGGGGGCAGGAGACATCTGAAGATGGCTTCTTGCAGCAACAGCAATTATTTCTTCGTTTCTAAGGAAAATGTAAACAGAAGGTCAACTTTGGCCAGGCCTCTTAATTTTCCTCCCTTTGTGGCGACAGGTTGATTTGGGAAAATTGGGTCTGTTTGTTATTTTCCTTCTGGCTCTCCCTCTCTCCCCGGCACCCCCTCTCCGCCCCCCGTGGGTGACAGAGGCAGTGGCAGCTGCTGTGAGAGAGATCGGACACGGGCGCTATCTGAGCAAAAGCAGCCAGAGCCTGTCTGGCGTCCTGAACAGCCCGCCCCACCCTGTGTGGCCCGCACGGGGCCAGGGCTGGCGGATACTCAGGGAATGTCCTGGAGTGGACCCGGCCTCCCAGCGCCTCAGCAGAGGTTGGATCTGTCCCCTCTGTCTCCACAGCCCAGCCTCTGTGCCCGAGCTTGCCTGGGCTCTGCGGGGAGATTCCCAAGCCCCTGCCTTAAGCTCTGTGCCCAGCTGGCCACCAGGCCCGCCCTTCCTGTCTTGTGGCTCTCTCTGCCTCAGTTGCCCTATCTGCCCCTTGTGGCTCTGGTCCCTTCACCTGCTGAGTCTCAGCTCCCCATCTGTGAAATGGAGACAATAGCACCCTCCTTGTGGGGTGCTGAGAAGGTCTGGCGCACTCGGGGCACTCAGGAAGGTTGTCGCTCAACAGAACTTGCGGCCTCTTCCTTGGGATTCCAATCCTTCCCTGGGGCCCCAGAGCTCTTAGAGAGGGGCGGGGCTGGCCTACACCCTGCGTCTTGCCCCCCAGGGCCCCAAGCCTCACTGTGATCCCAGACACACACACTGCGCCACCACAGCACCTCCACTGCTCCGGGACAGCCAGGGCCTGGGCATGCGCTCCCTCCTGGCCTCCGCTCGGCCAGCTCCGCCCACCGGGCCCATCTCTCTCCTGACATTCCCTTTCCAGGCAGCAACATCTGCATCAGTGAAGCCTCTTTTGGCTTGAGTGGCAGAGCCTGGAAGGCAGGGGAAAGTCCTTCCGGCACAGCCGGGCCTGGGTGCAGAGGACAGCATCAGCTCCTCTTCTGAGTGTCCAGCTGTCTCCCCTCTTGCTGTCACTTCCTTCTGGGACTCTCTGAAGCAGGGATGTGGCTGTTGGCTGCTCCATATTTACTTCCTGCCAGTTTAGGGGGAAGAAAACTTGGTCTCAGCTCTCACAGGTGAGTCCCAGAGAGGGCTCTGAGCCGGATGGGTCCAGCCCCACAGCCTTCTCCCATCCGACTCGTCCCGGTTTCCATGGGGGAGGTGGCCTATGGCTGCCCATGAGAGAGCTGCTGCACCAGGGCCCGGGGTGCAAGCGTGCATGGTGCCTGTGTGCACGTACGTGAGCAGGTGTGTGCAGGCATGTACTCATCTGTATGTGACTGCACGTGCATGTGCATGCCTGGGCTGTTCCCCAAGTGCTGCAGGCAGTGGGGGGAGTTTCCCCCAAGGTGGGGAGGTGTTGTCACCAAAGGAAAAAGGGCAGACTGGTGCTGCCCACCCTCCCTAGGGACTGTTCCTGCTGCCCAGAGACCTCAAGGTCATTGCCTACACTGGGCCCCCAGCGCTAACTCCCCGAAACAATGAGCTAATGGTGCACTCACTTGTCCCTGTCCACCCACCACCTCTCAGCCCACGTAGCACAGGAAACTCTCTAAGGGCTGGCTTCACCCAACCCCACATGCCCCAGGGAGGCCTGGTCAGACAACCCTGCTCCCCAAACACGCAGGCCCTCACCCCACCCTCTCTCTGGAGCTGCCTCCTTCTCTTCCTCCTCGCCCATCCTGCCTTCTTTGCCTTCTACCCTCAGCAAGTATTTTCCGGGCACCTACTGTGTGCTAACACTCTGCTCCAGCACCTAAGCAAGGATCCCAACACTGGTCCCTGAACTCTTGATGGTCTAATGCAGGGGAGAGAAATGTGTATGAAATAATCACATAATTATAGGCTTGCAAAATCTGGAAAGTTCTAGGAAGAGGAAAGGTTTTAGAGCGCATCTATCAGGGGCACAGGCATGGTCTGTGGTCAGGGTGCTCCCCAGAGGAAGTAACACTGTAACTGAGAGCTGAAGGTTGAGTGAGAGCTGGCACAGCAGGGACAGCAGGAAGCGGGGGAAGGGGACACTCCAGGGTGATGGGACAGCATGGGCAAAGGTCCTGAGTTTGGGGGGTGCACATCTCTTGTGAGTGTGATGAGAGGAAGGGGTAGGATAGCATGTAAGAGACCTGGATGAGACCTTCAGAAGACAGCTGAGGTGTCATCTCTTCCAGGAAGCCCTCGATGACTCCCCAGGAGGAGCAGTCATGTGCTGAATTATGCTCAGCTTTGTGCCTGCCATTCTCTTGTCCAGGTCTTGAGCTTTTTAAGGAAGGAGGCTATTTGTTATTCTCTCCAAGTCCTCAGCACCTTGTGTGAATCCTGACACAGAGTAGGGGCTTAGGACATGTTTGGGGGGATCTGGAAAGTCCTCAAATGTCAGTGGAGCTCAACCCCAAAGAAACCAACCTCAGCGTGCCCTGCTGGCCCAAGGATGCTGACTTCCTCATCACTTCTCGAGGCTCAGGTCTTTGGGGGCTCAGAACTTTATGTCTGGGCTGGGGAACTCAGAACCCTGGTTTCATGGAGATGGCCAGGGTGGCGCAAGTCAAAATACCAGGTGTCTTTTGTTTCCAGCAAGACCGGCTGTGTTGAGCTGATGAAGCATAGCTGGCAAGCCGTGTCCTCTGCATCCGGGTGGACTGTGGACACATGTGGTTTCTGTTTCCAAACACGGAAGGAGGGTGCTGCTGGGGGAACAATGGGAACAAATAACCTCTAGGGGAAAAGACAGGTTTGTTCTCTCTTGATTCTATTAAAAAGTTCATTAAAGAACATTTAGAAAAGACTCAGAACTAGGAAGGAATGAGGGGGGCGGGAGGGAGCAAGAGAGAGAAAGCGTGGGAAATAGCAGGGGGGTACGGAGAGAGGGAGAGATTGGTCCCTGTTTCTACCTCTTGCAGAATTTAGGACATTCCAGAATGGCTAAAGCATCCGATTTCCTGGGGGCTTGCCAGCTGGGAGCCTGGGGGAACTCAGACCCTCCGAGGCATTTCCTACTCTGTGAAATGGGTGCAGGGTGCTCCTGGGATGACAGGAGCCCAGACTGGCACAGGAAGCGCTCTGAGAGCAGGAGCTACAGGTATTCAGCTCTCTCCATGGTGCTGGAAATACTATGGCTGCATTAAAAAAAAAAAGCCTTCTATTGTAGAGATTTGGGGACCCCAAATGAACCATATTCCATGGCTGTGCTGAGGACAGCTGAGTGGCTGCACCTTTGAGTAAATGGAACTCTTCCAGCTCCCCAAATTCTTCCTCTCTGGGGGTGCCCAGTCATCGGCAGCAGCCTGGGGGTCTCGGGCTGAGCTGTCAGCTGATTCTGCAGGCTGCTGGACCCCACCCTCTGAGGAGAAAGCAGGGTTCAATGCAGATGGAGGTGTGCGGGGGAGGGGATGGCGGTGGCAGGATGCACTCAGCCGTTTCCTAGGAAACCCAGCCACTGGGGAGGAGGGACTGTTGGCCGCTCCAGGGATTCTCCAGGCCCAGGAGGTCTGGACTGCCTGCTCACCACGAGGCCAGCCCCCCGCCCCCCGCCGTGCCGCCCTCTGGGGCTCTGGAACTGTGCACTTCTGGGCATGTATGGAGTGTTGTGGTTTCTGAGAGTGCCGGTGAGCTCGCCTACATGTGTTTCCTGCCCCATCCAGGCCAGCCCCCCGCACCCTGGGTCAGCCTTCCCTTGGGCAGACTAGCTGTCCCCACTGGCCAGCAAGTGTGCTTGGTTGGGGGTCCTGGAATTGCCCGCTCTCTCTACAGAGGGTAACCTCCTTCCCGCGCTGGGACGCCTCCTGGGAATTCAAAGGTAAACTTGTGCCCCCTGAGCCCCCACAATCCAACCCCTTGATCAGCTTGGGGAGTCTCTGTCTTCTCCCACCTTCAATCATGCTCAGCATCTCCTGCTCCCCTAGCCTCCTCGCCCCCCCGCGTGCTCGCTTCTGGGTATCCTTGGCGTCACAATAACAATAGATACAATTTTCATGCTCTGGCTATGAGCCGAGTGCAGATCCTTCCCCACCTCTGACTGTCACAGCTGCCTGGAAGGAGGGAATCATACCCATTGGGAAGATTAGTGAAACCGAGGCTCAGAGGGAGGCTTCAGGGTTGGCAGAGCCGAGGGGCACACCAAGGGGCTTGTTTTTGGAACTAGACCACTCAGGTACCAAGGCCGGTTCCAGGAAACAGGGTGCAGTGGGGCCGGGGGCTCACAAGTTTCAGCAGCAGTGCCCTTCCACAGCTTGACCTTCAGCTTGGGGCTCTGGTCCCTGGAGAGACCGCTGTGAGCGCCCCATGGGTCCAGGGAGGTTGTCAGCCCAGGTTGTCAGCCGCCATCACCATGTGCTACTGCCTTGCTCTGCTTGCTATTTTCGCTGATCTCTGTGACCAGCTTCTGCAGAGAAGACATTTTAAGTCTCTGTTTGAAGAAATTGTCATGACTTGTATAAATGTGCATTAATGAGCTATGTCCTGGCCAAGACATGGATTTTTTTCTTAATGTTCCGCTAATTTGCAGGAAGCACCTATACACTGGAAGCACAGGGATCTGGGGGTTGTGGGCTTGGTTCCCGCCCAGCCGCTCCTCTTTGGGGTGAAAGGAACCAGGGACGTGGTCCTCCTGCCCGGCCCTGGGAGTCCAGATCCTGCCGGGTGCTCCTGCCTGCTCTGGGGTCACTCCTTGGGGCCGCGGGGGGGGGGGGGCGGTGAGTGGGGGCCCCAGAGCCAGACTGCCTGGGTGTCAGCTCCAGTTCTGCCACGCAGGAGCTAGACGGCCGTGCACAACCCTTTAGCCTTTCTGTGCCGCGATATCCCCACCTGGTAAATGCGGGAAAATAGCAGTTCTGACTTTAGAAATAGGGCTGTTGTGGAGATGAGTTAATATATGCAAAACATTTAGAACCACGCCTGGCGCTGTGGAAGTGTTTTTACAACAAGACTGGTAAACAGGTGGAGATATACTGGGCTGGCAGGAGGCAGCGGCGGGCAGAGCCCTGGAGGGTGAACAGACTCAGGGAGGCGGTGGCAGGACGCTCCGCCCCTCGTGGGGGGAGTGCTAGCAGCACGTCAGGCCCTTCATAGCTTTTCACACTGGCTACCACCTCTCCCCCCTTCCCTATCCCGGGGAGCTGGCATTTTCTCTTGGGAGAGCTTTCTGGGCTCCTGAGGGAGTGGCCTGGAGTGCCTAGTTGGAAAGAAAGCACCTCAAGGAATTCAGGTAGCTTCTTCCCCTAATGAGAGCCACCTGGGGGTGGGGCTGTTGGAGAAAAGCATTTGCAAAGACATTGCATGCAAAGACAGCTTGAAGTCCTGCCCTGATCAGCACCCCTGGAGGAAGAATGGGGAGCCCAGCAGGTGCCTGCTTCCCACCCAGCAGCTCTGGTGAAGGCAGGTGGACACACAGCTGGTCACCCCTGCAGCCCTGGACTGGGATTGGGTGCTGGGCCCAGGCTCAGGACTTGGGTGATGCTCCCTGAGCCACCCCGCAGCCTGGGTGTGACGGCCAAGAGGGAGTGCTTTTCTGGGGGTTCCAGGTCCTCTCTCATTAGTGCCAGCTCCCCTGTCTGCCTCCTGCAGGGCCTGAAACCCAGGCGGTTCTGCCTGCCGCCCAGCTAGTCTGAGGGGAGTATGGGAGAGGCCAGTGGGGGCCAGAGGTTGGAGGAGCTGAGCGCCAGGGCGCGAAGGTGGGAGCAGGCTGCAGGGCAAGATCCAGGGAAATGGCCCTCTTGCCCCCCTGCCCCCACCCCTGCAGCTCGGGCAGGGAGAGGCCGGAGCAGAGTTTGGGGCTGCAGTTCAGTGGGGAGGGAGGCCAGGGCCTTGCTTGGCTCTTGAAGGAAACCCTGTTCACCTTAGCGGGTATGGCTGCCTGGGGGCTGGGGGGTTGATGGGGAGCGTGGAGGGATCTAAGCTTCCACGGTGGGGAAAATTTTCAAAATCTTTATAACTGGTGCCATAGGATGCCAGCTGATGGGTGGGGGGGCGGGGCAGGAACAACCCTCTGGTGCCTCCTGGAGAGGTTGGGTGGGGTTCTGGGCTTTGAGGGCAGCTGAGGCTCAAGGGGTGCAGAACAACAGTTACTTGTCAACCAGCTGTGAAGCTGTGAAGTCTTTTGGTGTTTTTAAGTCATTTTGGGGGGCACAGCTAAAGACCAGCTCTGCAGCCCATGTTCCCTCCTTGCAGCCATGCTGGGGGACACCCTGCAGGCAGGGGGGCATTGTGGGGGGCTGCGTGAGAATCCAGCGAGAGGTCACGGCTGAGCCCGGGGAGGCAGCGGGGATAAAGAGGAGGGTCAGGGCCAAGAGCAGTTTAGGAGCTGATGGGCCTGGCTTGTGAAGGATGCGGGAGACGGCTTGCGGGGAGGTCCCATCATTAACTGGGGCTCCTGAGCCATTTATGGAGGAGCTTCACAACTTCATGGAGCTGGAAGTAGGCATGAAAGTCAAACCTTCCTGGCTGCTCGCTGAGGCCTAACCCACCCTCGCTGTGCCACCCGGGGCTTTGCGCTGGCCGGCAGGTCTGGTGTGGGGCGGTCTTGATTATCCATCTGCCAAGTCTGAGCCCTACTCTCCAGGCCTGTGCTCCCCCGAGCCCTACCCTGGCCCACCACAGGGCTCGCCCTCTAGACAGCTGTTAGCTCTGCCGAGTGGAGGGTATTTATCCGCTTGGCTGGGCCTGCTCCCAGCCCCGGAGGACCATGGCGCCTTCGATTACTCCAGGTGCAAATTCATTTCATCCGGATTCACAGGACGGCCGCCGAGGGCTGTGGTCTGGCTTTATTGCAAAATGCATTCTTTTCCCTCCTCTCTCAAAAATATTTATCTATGATAATTTAGCACGGGAGCCGGCTAAGTTCTGCACGGGGAATTGCCCTATTAATTCTGCTGCCTGGAAATACTGTGCCCGGCTGCAGAGATGTTACCGCTGCCTCTGGCAGGAGGGAGAGGCCGGGCTGCCTCCTCCCCTGGCTGGATGGGAGCGGCTGCTGGGCTGGCCATTTGGAGAGGTGCGGGGGGCCTGGTCTCTCAGGACCTTGAATGCCAGGGAGCAGCCGTCCTTTTACAGACTGAAAAAAAAAACAAAACACAACCCTTTGGGAAGCAAGGTGGGGGGGACCAGCTTTTCAGGTTGACAGACTCAGGTTCCATCTGCGCAGGCGCTACCGTGTACCTGCTGGGTGACCCTGGGCGAAGGCGGCGGCACCCTCTCTGAGCTTGGTTTCCACATTTGTCAGGTGAACCCAGTGACCTAGTAAGAAGGGGTGAGGTCATGCATGGGATGCCCTCTAGGGTGCAGGCACGAAGCAGGCGCCCCTCGAGAAAAGCCACCACTGCCGCTTTCCCGCCCGCTCCTGCAGGCCCTGTTGCCCTTTGCCGCGAGCCGTGTTCCATGTCCTGCCTCACAGATGAGCACACTGCTACCTGACGCCCCAAGTGGGTGTCTCAGCGCCCCCTAAACAGAGTTTCTGGTGAGCAGCCCTGGCTCCCATCCAAGTGGCCACTTCTCTGGGGAGACGAGCCAAGAGCCCCTTACCCACCGGCTGGCTGGAGCCCCAGGGCGCCGCCTTCCCTCTCGCCTCCCCCACGTGCAACCAACCCCAAGTCCGTGACGCGGCCTGCGGCCTCTGGTCTTTCTTTCCACACCACGTCACAGTGGGGAGATGTAGCTGCTCCCCCTTCCTTTTGGCTCCCCTCTGCTCCATTCCCGACCCAGCTGTGATCCTCTTCAAGTACACCCAGGCCACGTCACCCTGGTGAGGTTCTTCTGTGACTCTCCTGGCACTTAGGGCAAGGCCAGTCCTGCCTCTTCATTCCCCAGGGTCCTCCCCCCTTATTATTTTCTCCCCCCTGCCTGAGCACTTATCTTCAGCTCCTCACAGCTTGGGTTGTCCTTTACGTGGGTCTGGGCCTGCCCAGGCCACCTGCTCAGAGGAGCCTCCCCAGGCCCCCAGCCAGCCTGGCCAGTCCTGCCCCTTCCATGGACACCAGCCCCTGCGCATCTCTGCTCACCAATTCCTTTGTTGCCCGTGTCCTGTCAGGTGGGAGGTGTCGGCACCGCCTCACTGCCTGACAGGACTGCGTGTTCCCAGCGCGGTGATGGGGCTAAGCCCATCGCCATTGATTGCTTGTTCACTGGTAGCTTTAGAGCACACAGCACGCCAGGCCCAGCCCGTGAGCAGAGAGGCTGCTGCCCGGAAAGCCAGTCATCCTGCATCTTGTCTTTAATTAGCATAGACGCAAAATAAGACCCACTCCTTTAGTGCACAGTTCAGGGAGTTTTGAGAAATGCACACACTCCCAGAACCGCTACAATCAAGCTACCTCCAAACTCCCTGCCCTCTGGGGTCAGCACCCACCTCCGCCCCCTTCTTGCTCCTGGCAGCCACAGAACTGATCTCTGATCTACGGTGTTTTGCTTTTTCTGAAAGCTGCATAAATGGAATCACGTAGCACGCAGTTTTGTGAGTCTGGCGCCTTTCCTTTGGAACCTGAGATTTAGCCGCGTTGTTGCCGGCATCAGAACGTCCTTCCTTTTCACCGCCAGGGCACCACGTCATGTGGACGTAGCAGCGTCTGTTCCTCATCTCCCAGTTGAGGGATGTTTGGGTCATCTCCAGGTTTTTGTGGACAATTGTTTCCATCTACTTTGGTAAAAGTGCGGAGTGGGGTGTTTGGGTCATGGGATGGATGTACATTTAACTTTTATCGGAAGACCCCAAACTGTGGTCCAGAGTGCCAGTTCCTTTCTGAACGTCCCCTGAAGGGTATGGGGGTGCCATTGGACTACAGCCTCACAAGCATTGGCATTGGGAGTATTTTTTTTTTAGAGATTGATTCATTTATGCATACAAGAGCTGGGGTACAGGCCAGAGGTGCGGGGGTTGAGAGGATTCACCAGAGACAGAGCGGGGAACAGGACAGGCAGATCCACTGAAATACACTGCTGAGGGGAGCAGCGGGCGAGACAGGAGAGGTCTGCTGCGCCATGTGGGTAGCTCCGTGGGCGGGGATGGAACTCGTGCTGCAGAGGCTGCAGACAGCCACCAGGGAGGATTTGGGAGTACTTTTAAAATTTAACCTGTCTCACATGTGTGTAGCGGGGTCTCATTGTGGTTTCATTTACATTTTCTCCATGACAAATGATCTTGAACATATCTTTCAAAATAAAGTGTTTTGAAATCTGTGCCCACTTTCAAATTGGGTTATTGTTTCTTACTGAGTTTTGAGAACTTTTGAAAACATGTATTCTGGATGTAAGCTCTTTAGCAGACGGACGATTTGCAGGTATTTCCTTTCAGCCCTTGCACTCTCTTAACAGTCTCTCGGGGAGTACAAGTTCTTAATTTTGGTGAAATCTTGGCTTTATCTTTCATAAAATGAATCGTAAGTCTGGGTTTTGAATCTAATGACTTTAACCTAAAGTCGCAAAGTTTCTCCTCTGCTTTCTTGTACAGGTTTTATTGCTTTAGGTTTGTATTTAGGTCTAGGTTGTATTTTGCGTTAGTTTTTCATGTGGTTCAAAGTTCACCTTCATTCTCCTCCCTTCCCCGCCTCCATTTCCCCTTCTGCCTCCTCTGCTGCTGCCACATGCAATTGTTGCAGGCCCATTTACTGAAAAGTCTATCCTTTCTCTGTTATATTGCCTTTATACTTTTTTATTATAAAAGATTTATTTATTTATTTATACAAGCACTGGGTACAGTCAAAAGCGCAGGAGGGTGAGAGAATTCACCAGAGCCAGAGCGGGGAGCAGAACAGGCAGAAGGACAGAAGTACACTGCTGAGGGGAGCAGCGGGTGGCAGGAGAGGTCTCGTGCCATGTGGGATGGAACCGGCGCTGCAGAGGCTGCGGGCAGCTTCACAGCCCAGCGCTCAACCGCTGCGCCACCAGGGGAGGCCCTGCCTTTACACCTTTCTTTAAAAAACCAGACCACAAACGTGTGGGTCTTTTTCTAGACTCTGCTCTTGACCCCTCGATCTATGTGTCCACCCTTCCTACAACACCAAACTTCTTGGAGAAGGCAGCTTTATAATGCCTTGAAATCAAGCCGTGCAAGTCCTCCAACTTCATTCTTTTTTTTTTCCCCCCAACTTCATTCTTTTTAAAGTGGTTTTTAACTAGTCTAGTTTCTCTGTCGTCCCACATCAATTTTAGAATCAGGTTGCTGATTTCTAAAAAAAATTCTGCTGGGATTTTGATTGGAATTGCCTTGCCTTTATAGATTAGTTAAGAGAGAATTGTCATTTTTAATAATATTGAAGCTTCTAATCCAGATGGATGGTATATCTCTCGTTTTTTTTTTTTTTTAGGGCTTTGATTTATTTCATCTGTTTTTCAACATGGAGATTTTGAGCACATTATGTAAGATTTATACCTACATATTTCATAATTTTTGATGCTATTTTAAGTAGTACTTTTAATATCAATTTCAAAATGTTAATTTCCGGCATATAAAATATAACTGATATTTTAATATTGTCTTTGTGTTCTGCAGTGTCAAGTTCACTCACTAGTAACTGCTTTCTAGGTTTTATGGGGGTAATTATATCATCTGTATCTTTTCAATCTGTGTTCCTCCATTTATTTCTATTTCTTCCCTTTTTTGCATTGACTAGGAACTTCAGGCCAGTGTTGAAGTAGTGAGGGCGGATATCCTTGTGTTGTTTTTATCTTAAGGGAAAGGCTTCACTTCACCATTAAGTATGATGCAAACTGGAGAGTTTCCATAGATGCCTTTTATCAGGTTAAGAGTGTTTTTAATCATGCATGGATGCTGAAGGTCTTGTGTTTAAAAGGTATCAGAAGGAAGAAACTCTCTTTTTCTTCTGAACATTTTTGCATCTGGTTAAGATGCCTGGAAACTTGGCGACCATTTTGTGACTATGGAGAGAGTATGAGAAGCAAAACCAACCCGTTAATGGTGGAAGCATGGAGAAACGGAGAGAGCTTGGTCTTGTTCATCACTGGCTCACTGAGTTAAGCAGTCCTGTATTCTCCCCTATCACCAGAATTCTTATTATAGAGGAAACTAGGAAATTGAATAGCCTTATTGTTTAAGCTTTGAGTTTTCAAGTTTTGTTGCTTGCAGAGAAGCTCTACTAAATAAATGTGTACCCACACTTGCAGTTAGGGACTTTTTCTTTTCGTTGCTACATGCCCCGATACCCAGAATAGAGCCCGAAATATAGTAGGCACTTGCTCAATATCTGCTACTAAATGAATGAAGCCAGGACCTAGCACATTCTCATTCTGTTACTTATTTTTGCTTCAGTCTAGCAGGAAAGTCCTTAGGAGAGACCAAAGGACCTGGAAGAAAATGGCACGAAACAGAGCTTTGGAAAAGAGACTTCAGAAACTCAAGTAAGGATGGACTAGCGTTAAAATCAGGTTTCAGTCTGGAAGTGTGACCGTGAAAACAGAGGCAAGACGCATAGCTAACTGGGGCAAGACGGGGTCCGTTCTGGGAGGGTCTTGCTCAAATTCCCCTTCAGAGGCTGTGCAGACATCCGGAATCTTCTGTGTAAGATGTATTTTTTCCCTTCTCGAAGAAGCAACCTGTGAGACTTGCTCTCTAGTCATGAGCTCTGCTTCAGAAGATAACTCTACAGATCACAACAAGGAGAGAGAACATGTAATGCTTGCAAAATTCTCGTGCAAAGTTGCTCTCTGCTGAGAAATTATGCTCACTTGAAGCTTAATGTTTCAGTTAGAGAATACCTCAAATGAGGTAATGACGTTATGACTGGCTGTCACCCCACCATCAGCCCATTACTCCTGGCCCTAGGGAGCGATAAATGGGCTCAGCACACCCCCTCCCAAGGCTGCCTTGTGGGAGCTCCTGGGGTAAGCTACAGAGTGTGCTGGGGTGGGGGAGGCAGGGCATTCTCTGTCACCACCTGTCTGCCCCCCCACCCCACCCAAGAGCAAGTAACTCAGATTACCTCGGAATGTTCTAGACTACTGAGATTTGTGGTTTTGGCTATAAAGCATAAGGATTAAAAGCGAGAGTTCAAGGTAGAATGTTTGGGTGCAGATGTTGTGGGTGATATACTGGCTCTTCCTCTGTTCACTCATGGGTGAGAGAGGGGGTTACTATTTGCACCTACCCCCCCCGTGTGAGGGTTAACCCACACGTGCAGAATCTTGGCATGGATCAGCAATCAGCAGGTGACAGCTACTAGTTAGGTTAGGCACCAGCCATACCCTGGTCTAAGAATACTGCAGCGGGGAGAGGGGCATTTACTAGAATGAGACCCACAGAAGGGCTGGAGTCCCGGGAGTCCCAGTGTTGTAGCCTGGGAGTCAGAGGGAACGGTTTGCCCCCACCCAGGTGGGCCTGGAGGGCTGATGGACATTCAGACAGATGTGGAATGAGGAGCTGGGGTGGGAGGGAGTGTCCCGAGCAATGGACAGTGCCAGCATTGGAGCCAGCGTGTGTATCTCTAAGTGGCAGCCATTGCAGCAGGGGGAGCCTGTTTGGCCTGTGCCCAGAGGCGACATGATACCAGGTCTGCAACCCTCCCTCCTTCTCTAGGGACTGAGAGGCAGACACAGCTGCTCTGTGGCCTGGGAGCTGCCCACTGGGCTTCCTGGTCCCCTTGGGGCCACTCAAGTCTTTCCAGACCCCTCTTCCCTTCTCGGCACCTCCATCACCACCTCTCTGGGGAACTTGACAGTAGATGAAGTGACAAGTCTTTGTGCTTAATTAAGACACATTGTCCCACCAATTGGGAAGCGGGAAATGGCTGGGCTGTTTTACAAATAGAAACAATTCTTGTTCATTATCCCTTAATTGAGGCAACAAAGGGCTCTGGAAAACATCCATCAGAAACACATTCATGTACATCATCAGAGAGGATTGGGTTTAGGACCACACAAAAGCAACAGCAAATGTTCCAATCAAGAGTTATACAGACAAAGGGAAACAAAGGCCCAGAAATACAAATACTGCAGAATTAGCCCAATTACACAGTTGATGTGGCAGGGAACAAGTTTCCTGGCTTCTGTCCAACTCTTATCTTAGCCTCTTTTACCCCTTCTACTTCCCTGGTACAAGATGGGGATGGGCAAGGAAGACACCCTCTGAAGCTGGCTTTGGTCTCCAGGAGAAGGAAAGCATGGGCTGGCAGATAGTCTTGGGGAGCAGAAAGTTATAATCTGAATCTAAGATGTGGCTAGACTGTAATTGCCACCTCCCTCTTCCTGGTCACTATGCTTCTTATGATGTGACCTAAGATACCAATGCAGCTTTGTCTCAGCATTGGTTTTATGGTCAGCTTGTGGCTGGCTACAGATTCTGAATTGTTTTCATATGATTTTTCTTTTCAAGCTCGGGGTTTCCTAGCCTATATTTATACAATTGAATTTTGGGGTTCAAGTTAGCATTTGCATTTATCCCTATGGTACCAGCTTATTTGTCTTGTCATTCAATGGAGCTGAGTGGAAGTGGTCTGCTGGGACCCTGCTCAAACTGCTCCTGGAATTGAGCCTGATTGTCTCTCACCTTCATGGGGGGGCGGGGTAAGGGAGGAAAAGAAATGTAAACGCTTAGAATAGGAAGAGCTTTTCTTCCTTTTATTTCTTTTTTTCCTCACTGGTCAGAAAACGACTAGTCATTATACAAAACTTGGAAATCACCAAAAAGTACAAAAAGGGGAAGTAAATAAATCAATCCCACTAAACCCCTGAGTGAATGATTATGAATGATTTAGTCTCTTTCCTTACGGTCGTCCTTGGCACATTTTTTTCATCTGGTTGAGAACATGTTACATCTGATCTTAACTTTGCAACCTATCTTTTTCCCCAATAGTATTCACACGACTCAGAACACTTCCTACACACCTTTTTAATGACAGCATAATATTCCACCATAGAGTGATGTCATCATTTATTTCATAATTGTCATGGAACATTTGTACTGTTTCTAATTTCTCATTGCCATGAATGAGTCTGTCCCGGGCCTATTTGTGAACAGAGTTCTCATTTTTCAGTTCGTTTCCTTAAGAAAGATCCTAGAAGTACTATTGCAGTGTTGAAAAGCATGACTATTTTAAGGTTATGGTGACATCTCACTCCGTTACTTTCCAAAGAGGCTACACCAATTTGTAGTCTCATTAACAAGTGATTAGCAAATGTCTGCTCCAGTATATATACTTTTGGGAAAAAGGTTTTGCCTAGGAATTGTCAGTGTGTGTCTGCTTGCATGTGTGGGTGTGCATGGCATGCATGTGTGTGTGTACACGTGTGTGTGCAAATGCAAGTTCAAGGCATGCATGAACACACACGTTTGAATGCATGCATGTGCGTGTGTGTGTTTGTGGTAGCAAGGAATTGCTTATTCCACATATTGATTTAGCTCTAGGAAAGGAAGGAGTCCCCATATGCTCCCCATCCCACCCTGGGGAACTTTACTCAAAGCCTTAGCTCAATCAAGGCAGTATAATCAGATGTTAGCTGCTGGCTCCCAGCCCAACCTGTTCTGCGCCCCTCAGCCATCTGATTACTCTCGGCTCAAGCTTCAGTCCCTTTCCTGGTGACGGTGCCATCCTGCCTATTCTTCCAACAGAGACAGGGCCAACCTCCAGGGCTGTTACAGGGATGACAAATGAAATGTGTGTGAAAACTAGCTCTGTGCCTGACGCACAGAATGCGTGTGTTTTCAAATCATCCGCTCGTATACAGGGTTCTTGTAGACTTTGTTAAGGGCTTGGGTCCCTTTGGGGGAAACTGGGGTGCTGTCCATGTCCCTATTTTCCCTGATTGCTCTGCATTTCCAGAAGTGGAGGCTTTCACTGTCTCGGCAGAATGGACTTCATGCGGGGGATTCAGTGACTAAAGCTGTGGGACGAGCGGCTTTCAGGACAAGGCCCTCAAAGCCTGCCGCTTCTGGAGGTTGGTCCTCAGAGTCCGCCTGCTCCTGCCATAACCCCACCAGCCCCCAGCAGAAGCCCTGCATGCCGCCTCTCAGAACCCAGAGCCAGTGACACGGGTTTTCTCTTGCAGGCAAGAAGAGTCAGCAGGGCCTCTGCCTCTCTCCTGAGTTCCAAATTTCATCTGAGTGCAGCTGAGTGGCTGACACACAAACAGCATTCAAACTCGAGCTTCAAGGGGTCTGAGAAGTGTCACGCTCACGTTCTGGCTTCGGTGGCCTGAGGGGATGCCCAGGACGCCCTTCTCACCCACTTCACCACCAGGGGCCTGACTCCCACCGCAGCCTTGCCATTGAGGGCATCACTGACCCTCCTTGCCTTGGCACGCCTGCATGCTGGCTGGGGCTGGCCTGGGAGGTGCCCATACCAAGGCCTGCTCTCCGTTGGTGAAGTCAGGAGACCATCTCTCCCCTTTTCTCCCTTAAAACTTTTTTTTCCACAACCAGGTCCCTTGGACTCTTACCTTCAAGCGCCAATGCTTTTAAAAATATTTCTTCCAAATAGAGACAGTGCCATCCCCAAGAGGAATTCTGGGGATGAAAAGATTTTCCATCTCATTACAGATGTAATTGCTCTCTCCTCCTTTTGTTTGCAAGTAATAGCAACTCACACAGACCAGCTTCAGCAAGGAAGGGAATTTATTGGCTCATAAAACTGAAGAGTCCAATGTAGACTTCAGGCTTGGCTGGATCCAGGTGCTTCAGTGATGTTATCGGTTCTCTGTTTTTCTCCTCTGCTTTCCTCCATAACATGGAGGAAAATATTTCTGTCTTAGTCAATTTGAGCTGCTATAACAAAAATGCCACAGACTGGGTGACCGAAATGATGCACATTTATCTCTGACCGTTCTGGAGGCGGGGAAGTGCAAGATCCAGAAGTCAGGAGTCAGCAAGTTCTCCTGTTTCTTCCTATCAGGGCACTAATCCCAAGGGCACCTTCAACTATTTACCAAACACAACCCTTCTAACGCCATCACACTGGGGGTTAGAATCCCAAAGTTTGATTTGTGGGGACACATACACGTATCTGTAACAACTCCCCAAAGCAGCAGCAAAAGGTCATCATCAGTTCAGTTTTCATTTCATCGGGTTGGTCGTCCTGCCAGGACAAGGGCACCTCCTGCGCAGTACTTCTCACCAAAGCCCCAGGGCTGATGCTAATGGATCAGCTGATCCCTGCCAATCCCTGCCAGCCCAGTCTCTGGCTGGACTGCATGCCCGAATCAGAAGGTGGCAGGACTGTGGTGGGTCCCCAGTGAACCCCCTGCACTGAGAGTGGCTAAAGCTTCAGCCCTGGGGTCACCCCTGTTGTCTCCATGGTGACCACCCAGCACCATCCTACTCACTACAGGGGCCTCTGCTTCTGTTCCTCCTCCGTGCCCAGGGATGGGGCACCTGTCACACAGGTTGCTCCGGGCAGCCCAGCAGACATAGGGTGGGGCCCTTAGAAGGGCTTTCCAGACCTGTGTCCAGGCCCACACCTTGCTTTCCATCCCCCTCTCAGTGTCACCTCTGCTGTTCTCCCCTCACCAGCTAGGGGCCCCCCATTCCCCGCTCCCAGTTGCTACATTGGAGGCAGAAGCCACAGAGAGTTGGATGACCTGGTCTGGCTTACACTTGGCCTCCTCCGACTGGTTTCAGTCACTGCCAGAGGCAGCCACCTCTGAGTACGCAGCAAGCTCAGGGGATTTTACTTCTCCCCAGGAAGTCACAAATTCTGCCTCAGGGAAGGATGGGAAGGTTATTTTCATCCCTTTTCATCTCAGGGTCAAAGGTGCCTTCAAAGAATCAACCGACTGACCCCTGGGGCCAGATGTAAGAACGAACTGACTGACCCCTGGGGCCAGTTCTACAGCCCTGGGGGGCAGAGCCAGCGCAGTTTTCCTTAGCATATTTGCTATTCCTGCCTCCAGGAGATCCTGGGAACCTCAGTCCCACTGCTCTGGAGTTGGGGGACCCTGACACACAATTTAACCTGAATCTCCATCTCTGTGCTTGCAAAATCGAGGTAATAATCCCTTCCTCTCAGAACCATGGCCAAGATCGATGGAGAGAATAGATGAGAAAATGCTTGGCTAGGGAGAAAGTATAGTAATGTAAGAAGAGTTCTCACCTAGCACCCTCCACACACCCCTGCAGGATTTAATGAGAGCTGGCTGCTCCCTGGGATCTTTAATTAATTGCCCGGGACCCACAGCCTGAGTGCCAGCCGATTAAACCCTGCGGAGGCAGGAAGTGGGCTGTGGACTGCTTTGGATGCAAATGCCTGGAGCGTAGGATTTCTGCTACCGAAAAGGCTGACTGGCTGATTTTTCGAGCAGCTGCATCGGTGGCTGCCCCAGGCAGATGAGCCTTTGCTCCCTCAGCACAATCAGCGCAGCCAGAGGATGCCCTGGCCCTAACGGACTCATCAGGGCTCTTGGGGGTGCCAGTGACCTGTCAGACCTGGCGGGCCCTGGCCAGCCCCAGGCCCAGGAGGGAGGATGCAGGAGGTTTGTTCCTCAGTGGACCAACCCACCCACAGTGGGCTGGGCATGCAGCCAGCTCCACCTGTTATAGGACAGGGAGAGGGGCAGCCCAAACCCCGCAAACCTGCCTATTTTAAATGGGTTCTGCCATCCGCCGCATCAACACAAAACATATGAGACTTTAATGGGAAGGAACTTTAATAAAACTAGGAAACAATACAGGAAAGGCAAAGAATCTAGTTTCTAAATGAAGCACCCAAAGTTACCCATCCCCTCGTGGGTAAAAGTCCATCCAGATGGGATTGGCCCAGAGCAAGGCCCCAAAGCCTGCCACAAGTCTAAAGCACCTTCCAGTGGGGACCCACAGAAAAGGGTCAGAAACAACCAGACAAGCCCGGAAGGAAAAGAGCAAAATCAACATCAAGATAAAAGCTGCCATTGTCACCTCCCCACGGGTCTCACCCACATCTGTGTCACCCAGTCCACGATCAAAAGACAAGCGCAGTTTCTTCACGTGTCTCTAGGCTCCATGTGCCTCCTCCAGGTCTCCTGGCTCCATCCTGCTTCCTTCCTTCCTCAGTCTCTTCTGCAGCTTCTCCTCTTCCTGCTCAGCTCCACCCTCCCTTGGGTGGGGCAGGGAACCTCCCCCTTTCCTGGGGACCACCCTGTTACACACCCACGTACCCTCTAGGTGTCCCTTCTCAACAGGTACCTTTCCAAGTAACCCTCCCTCCAGGTACTCTTCAGCACCTGCGCTCTTATAGGCACGTTATAAAATGGACCCTGAAACTCTTGAAGGAGGATCCATTCATTTAGACCCCTCTCCTCTTTCCCACCCTCCTTCAGTAAGGGAGAAAACTTCTACTTAATCTTCAGACAAAAAGGCAACTTAACTACAGTCTAATGAGGCCCACAAAGAGCATTTAGCTTACAAAGCAAAATTCTCCTGGGACTGGAATCCATTTTCCCAGTTCACCCCTCCCCAGGGTCTGGGGGGGCTGAGGGCTCTGTGTGTAGGGAGCGGAGTCCAATCCCTGCCCGTGAGGAGACTTCGCTGAGAGCCAGATGCCCCCGGGAGCAGACAGAGGGAAGCAAATGTGCAGTCATTATCACCACCGTGGTCATCACCGTCACCACCGGCCCCATCATCATACCCGCTATCACCACCACCATCATCACCGCCATCATCATACCCACTGTTGCCACCACCACTATCTCCACGACCGTCGGCATTATCATCACCACCATCATCACCACCACTACTACCACTACTACCAACATCATCACCACCTCCACCATCACACTCACTACCACCACTACCATCATCACCACTATCATCAACACCATCACCACCGCCATGTTCTACTACCACCAGCACCACTACCACCACTACCATCATCACCACTCCTGTATCCACCACTGCCATTGTCACCAATTCAGCAGGTAAGTTGTGCTAGAGAGCGGTTACACAGTCTCCCAGACGGCTCCAGAAAACAGACATTATAATCCCCGTTCATAGGCTAAGAAACTGAGCCTGAGGTGAGAGTCACCTACCTTTGTTAGACTGTGTGTCTTGAGGGTGGAACGTGTCTCTCTGGTCTCGTGAGTCCTCTGTCTAGCACAGGTCTGTATCCAGGGGTCTACACCAACCTTCTGAGTGCATGAAAGCTCATTGGGGGTCAAGGTCCTTGGGCTTCCAGGCCCATGCTTACAGGAGCAGACAGAAGGGGCCTTTCTTCAGCTCAAGCCATCTTAGCCCGTATCAAGACCAAAGGTTCATGCTGAAGACCCAGAAAGCAGTAAAATACAGGCTTGGCCTTGCAAAAGTTTCTGCTGTTTTGGGGGATTCAGGCAGGTGGGCCATGGAATTGAGCATCTCAGGCCATGAAAAATGCAACAGGAGCGGACTGCCCTTCATCAGAACTGGAGAAGGAGTGGGTATGGTGAGGACATCTGCTTTCAGCACTTCCCTGCCCAGACCAGGCGAGGAAGGACAGTGCTGAGGAGGGACTGGCCACCGGGCACTACCCCCAGGGCAGTCTGAATGTTAGACCTCTGGGCTTTGCCAAAGGTCATTTGTAAACTGTTCTCATGGAAAAGTCCTCAGGCTTTCTATAACACAGCGTCCCAGGCAATCTCCACTCTGTGTTGCACGTGAGAAATGACTTTTAATGTACTGACAGGAAAAATAAAATCACCGCCAATGGGATTTGATGCCTTCTTCTTTCTAGTTAGCAAGGGCTGTGTTGCTTAATAAAGAAACAAGAAGATAAATGTATTCATTCACCAAATGTTTGTTGAAGAACAGCTTGGGCTGGATTGGGCCCAATGCTGGGAGGAGTGAATTGGCCCAAACTGTCTTTGACCACCAGGATTCACAGTCTCGTTTCACTCTTCATGCGGCCATAAGGCTGCCACTTTGTCACCCTAATGATTGAAATATTTGTCCCTCTTCCTTTTGTCAGTCTTGGTTTTCTATTTCTATTTTCATCTTATTCTATACATATCTTTTATTATCAGCTGTTGTAACATATTTTAATATGGGGATAAAAAGAGAAGATACAGATGGCAGATTAAGTATACATTGCCACCCTCCCTGCCTCCCTCCTGCTCCCAATCCTAGGAAATGACACAAGATTTCTTTTTCTTTGTCTCTCTTGTTCTGTCTCCCTCTCTCCTGCATGGATCTAGAACAGCTCTAGAGAACAATGACCAAAAAAAAGTCTCTTGAATGAAACAGAGATTTTGAGGAGTTCCCAAGCATCCGAATGCAGGGAGTGGGTTGGACTGATGAACTTCCAACACGCGCTGTCCAAGGTATCAGGGGCTGTGGAGTCCCCAAAACTCAAAGTGATAGATACAGAAGAAGGGGACCTGAGGCCATGACTGAGATGCTTGGCTGTAGAACCTGGGTCAAGAAGTGAGGCCCCCAGAGACTCCCCTTAGGCTGGAGAAGTGGAGGGGCCATTTAAGAGCACTCAGATGATGGTGGTTACAAGAGGAATGGGACAAGCCCCGCGGGCCCTGCTTGCCACAGTAAACCAAAGCATATTTACTAGCCAGACCAGCCGGGC